GTGGCTGTGATGGTGGTGGTGGTATTTGTGTGGTGGGTTGTTGGTGGTGGTGGTGGGTTGAGGTGGTGGTGGTGGTAGTGATGGTAATCGTCGCTGCGTCCCCGCCGTCGGCGCTGCTGGCCGCCGCCAACGCAGGCGCCGGCGCCGGCGCGGGGAGGGGGGGGTTGGACCCTCCCCCCCGTTGGGCTGTCTCTGGTCATCGTCGCTGCGTCCCCGCCGTCGGCGCTGCTGGCTGCCGCCAGCGCCGGCGCCGGCGCCGGGGGGGGGGGTTGAACCCGGGGGGGTAGGGGGGAGGAGAGTCCCCCTGGTTTTGATCGACGGCGCCTAGTGTTGGGGGGGCCCACCCCCCGGTTCGAAACGCGCCGCCGAATGTTCCCAAGGCAAGCGCCCGTGAAACGCGCTCTCTTCGACTTCAACATCGCCCCTTGCCCGCCCGACCCAAGCGCCGTCCAGTGCTTCGAGCTCCTCTCCGCCCTGTCGATCGCGACCGAGGTTTCCATCGTCTCCCGCCAGCGCGCGCGCTCGCGGACTGAGCATCGCCGAAGCGGCGAGGCGCTCTGGAGACCAGCTCCTTCACTCCTACCCCCAGGGGCGCTTCAAAGGCATTGAGTCGGAGGTCGCTGAGCTGCCGCTGCGGTCGGCGAATTGGGCGGCCCGGCCCCACCATACCAGACCATATTCCATCCATTTCATCGGAAGTCGCTCGAGGCTTGCCGCGGCGCGATGGGGGGCGCGCGAGCGATTTCCAGCCCGACTTCTTCTCGGCCCCCACCTTCAATGCCAGATTACGTGGCCCGGGGGGCGCTGCTGTGCGGCGCCGCGCGCGGCGCGGGATTCAGCGCCGGGCCCCTTCCGGGGAGGAGGAGGAGGAGGAGGAGGAGGAGGAGGAGGAGGAGGAGGGAGGAGGAGGAGGAGGAGAGGAGGGAGGAGGAGGAGGAGAGGAGGAGGAGGAGGAGGGAGGAGGGGAGGGGGGGAGGATGAGGAGGGGAGGAGGAGGAGGAAGGAGGGGGAGGAGGAGGAGGAGGAGGAGGAGGAGGAGGAGGAGGCCCCCCGTCCGGTGCTGGGCGGGGCTCGAGCTGGGCCCGGCCGCCGCCGCTGCCACCAGCGACCCTTGAGCCCCAGGGCAGTCTGGAACCCCGTGGCCCCCGGCATCTCCGGGGGCCCCAGGGCCATCTCAAAGGCTCTGTTGGGCAACCGCGGGGGGGTTTTCAAGGGCCGCCGCGCGGGATCGCACCCAGCGGTTCCTGGAGGGCCGCGTCGAGCCGAGGCCGCCGCCCGGCAGCGCGGCGCTGCGGGCTGATCCGTCCCGGCCCCCGGCTTCGTGCTCCCCGCCGCCGAGGATGCTCCCTCGCGCGAGCTCCGTGCTTCTTCCCCGAGGTGCCCGCCCTTGGCAGGCCCCGAGCTCCGTTGGAAGTCGGGCGGGGCGACCCCGTGGCCCTCGAGAGCGCCGACGCCGTGGCCCCGTGGCCCTCGGGCGGGGCGGCCCCGTGGCCCTGCCTCGGCGGCCGACGTGGAGCTCGCCCGCCGGGCTCAGGGCGGCGCCCACCCGATTCGGGAGGCGTCTGCCCGAAACCCAGCAGCCTGGGCACAGCGCCCCCCGGTTGTCTGTGGCGGCCCGCCGCGTCGGCTTGGGCGCCCTAGCGAGCTCTCGCGTGCGCGCCCTGGTCTCGTTCGACGTCGCCTGGCTTCTCTTGCTAGGGCGTGGGTTCCGTTGGTTCTCGTTGACGGCGGCCTCTCGCAGAACCTGCTCGATCTGATCGAGGCCCTCCATGCCAACTCGGTGGTCTTCGAGGTCCCCCTTGGCCCCTGGGCGGAGATCTCCCCGATCTTCTCGGACGCGGTGGTTTCTGCGAGTGCTCTCCGCAGATGCACTCCTCCTCCTCCTCCTCCTCCTCCTCCTCCTCCTCCTTCTCCTCCTCCTCCTTCTCCTCCTCCTCCTCCCTTCCGCTACCCCCACCCCCCACGATCTCTGAGAGGGGGTTCGGGGTTCAGTTCGCTCGGGGGCTCCCGAACGAAGTGACCCCGCCCCCTCCCCTCCGAAATCGGCTACCCCCACCCCCCACGATTTCTGAGAGGGGGGTCGGGGTTCAGCTCGCTCGGGGGCTCCTGAGGTGATTGACCCTCACTGGGGCCCCGGACGCCCCTGGAGACACACTGGGAGGAGAAGAAAGGGGCCGAGACGGAGCAGGAGGAGGACGACGACGAGCAGGACGAGGTATGATGCTGAAGAAGGGCAGGGGGGGGGAGGAGGCCCTGTGCTGCAGCTGTTGCCTGTGGTAAAGCATGTCTGTGCGTTGTTGCTGCCACCCGCCCATCAGACGGGCAGGACCACCGCGAGCCTAGTATCTCCAGCACGTCGTTGAAGCTCACTCCTCGAGGGGGGATGGCCGGGGGCATGAACCACCCACCCTACACCGACCTCTCTCCTCCTCCTCCTCCTCCCCCCCTCCTCCTCCTCCCTCCCCCCCCTCTCCCCCTCCTCCTCCTCCTCCTCCTCCTCCTCCTCCTCCTCCTTCTCTTGTCACTCCTCCTCCTCCTCCTCCTCCTCCTCCTTCTCCTCCCCCTCCTCATCTTCTCCTCCTCCTTCTCCTTCTCCTCCTCCTCCTCCTCCTCCTCCTCCTCCTCCTTCACCGGCGCTGGAATCTCCTGGGGGGCCCGCACGAAGGCGACGGCGCCCGCCCGCCGTCGGCTGCAGCGCGCGCCTGCGAGCGGCCCATGGCGCGCGCCAGGAAACGGCGCAGACGACGGGCGAGCATTTTTCGGAAGGCGCTCGAGGAGTTCGACGGCTCCTCGGCGACGCCAGTCGCATCGGGAGATGGTGCGCTCGGCATGGTGGGCCCTGTCCGCCACTGCGCTCGCGCTGCCGTTGCAGCGCGCGCCGACGACGCCATTGCACAGGGGCAATGCTGTTGCAAGTGCATGGCGCCGGGGCGCCGCGTTGCAACTCATTGGGGCAGTCGTCCTTCGCGCATGCCGAGCATTACGCGTTGCAAGGCATTCCGGCCAGCGGGTTGCATTGCGCTGCCGCGCTGGCCGCGCGCGGCGCGGCAGATCAGATCCGACCTGATCGCCCAGACAGCCTGCGAGCAGGGGGCGCGGGGTGCCCGGGGCCAATTTCCCATCATGATGACAGAGTCGGAGGCCTACCGGGTAGCGAAACGAACTGGCAGGCCTTGCCATTTGGAACTCGCGCGAAGCTTACAGGCCCCGGCCGCGCAAGCTCGGGGGTGCGATTTGTTTGGTGGCGTCCACATCATGGGAGCGCGTCGCTGTCGCGACTCAGATCCAAACTCCCCAGCGCCTATTTGTAGCTGGACCCCATTTTGGATTGCCAAGACAACAGGTGCTCTCGGGGCCGTCTGCGGCGGCGGAAAGTCGACAGCTTGCCCCGCGCCAGGAGTGGATCGAGCGCGTCCGTGAACAGCGCAAATTACGATCCCCCTCATGAAGCCAACCTTTGGGTATGCGATATGGTTATCGAGCCCGCGCTGTGCAATGTATGTGCGCTGTTTTCGATGGGCACAGCAGGGGCCGCGCGCGCGATGTGCTCCGCCGCCCGACCAACGCGCGTCGTTTCGCGGACTTTTCAAAATTCAGCTGATGGGCGAGCCTTCCCCCCCTTGCTCCGAGATATCCCGCGCTGTCGCAGCGAGCAGTCTAATTTGCGAGCTGTGGCCGACGCGAATGCTGCCTCGCGGTCTGCTCTTCAGGGACTCCGTGAAAGAGCTGGTCGTTGATCGTCGCTGCGCGGACTTGCAGGGGGCGCGCTCCCCCCCCCACTGGGCGGCGGGCTCAACCGACACCGATGCCGCGATGTTAGGAGAGTGTTATGGCTGACACCTTCGAGCTACTGCGGCCCAAGTCCACGCTGGTCACGGCCCAACGAATGCAGACGGCGGCGAAGCTGGAAGCTTGAGGTCCAGAGGGTCTTCTACCAGGCATTGTTGGTTGCCCGCGTTCCTGGCGACTTCGAGGCTCTGCTCGCGCCGCGGGTGGCGATCTGGTCCGGGCCAGAGGCGGTCCCCGCGAAGCTGAGCCGCCTGCGGCATGCGCTACGCGGCGAGTTTCAGGGCCGCCCACCTCCCTAGGAATGGGAGTTCGCCAAACACACCACAGGGGCTTGGATTGCCAGTGGCGACATGCATGTGCTGGTGACGAGGTACGGCTGCATCCTCAATTGTCAGGGCCAGCCCGACTCCATCGCCTCCTGCCCGCAATGCTCACGGCTGGTGATGCTCATGGACGGCGACGCCCTCGAGTTCTTATGAGTGGGGCACGTGGCGGTGGCGGAGCAGCGCATCCTGCACCGCCGCAGTTCCGATAAGCAGGCCCGTCAAGCACGGTTCGCCCGTCAGCGGCGCACGTTCATGCACGCGTCGCCCGACACCTGCACCGTGCGCTGCACGCGCTCATGTCGACTGCTGCCCCGCACGAGAGGGAGGGCACCGTCTCCCTGGCCCTGCTGCTTCGCGGACCGCAGCGGCACAAACTGGTTCCGACAGGAGGGAGGTGGGCTCCCTGCCCCGCTCGCCAGCGACGTCCACTCCCACTGCCTCATCGCCGATGAGGGTCATTTCCACGCCATCTGGCACCAGGTCTGCGACTTCATCTTCAATCAGCCCGCCAGCAAGCTCGGGAACAGACCCGCGTTCATGGCCACGTGCGCTCCTCCTCCTTCTCGCTTCTTACCTCCTCCTCGTCCGCCTCCTCCTCGCCTGATTTGCTTTCTCTTCTCCCTCAAGCTGCTCCTCTCCCTCCTCTTTCCCGTCCGTTCCCTCCTCCTCCTCCTCCTCCTCGTCCTCCTCCTCCTCCCACCCCATTGTCCTCCTCAACCTCCCCCCCTGCTCCTCCCAACCTTCCTTCACCTCTTCCACGGCGACGCCGGTGACGACGACGACGCCGGTGACGACGACGACGACGACGACGACGACGACGACGACGACGACGACGACGACGACGACGACGACGACGACGACGTCCGTGGGCTTTGGGTTCCCGAGGATGGCCGGCATCGCGGGCCTGTGCCTTGCGGCTACTGCGGCCGCCGGGAGGCTCCGGCCCGACTCGCTACGGGAGGAGGACTGGGAGAGGGAGGCGCAGGAGAAGACGACGTGGGGTGGTGAACGGTGACAAGGAATCGGAAGGAGCTGGAAGAGGTGGATGGGCAGAAGTGCCTGGGAGGATGAGAGATGGAGGAGGGAGGAGGCGAGGATGAGGAATTGGCGGTGGCGGCTCGACTGCAGCTGCACGAGGGCATTCCGCGGGTCGCTGACCAGACGGTGCTTCGTCGTTGCTGCGAGGAGAAGCTTGTGTGCGCGCTCGTGTGGGAGAGGGACTTTCAGGGAGGGGCTGCGCCTTCAGTTCCAGCTTGGGCTGTGTGATGCGTCCCGATCGCCAGTGCCATGACGCCGCCTGCCCGCAGCTTCGTTGGGCATTCTCTTCTGTCCTCGGTCGTGGCCCCTCCCCTCTGTGTCCACTCGCGCGCCGGGGTTTCCTCACACCGACAGTCAGTATCGTCGAAAGGGTCGCCATCGCATTGCAAGCTTACGACACGCTTCGCTTGTTGCCCATCCACATTTTGCCTAGTAGTATCCGTTCGGTAGTCTTGCTGGCACTTGCGCTTTTTTCGTGTGTGCTCGCCGTTTTCTCCTGGTTCGTCTGTTGGTCACCTCGCTCTTCTGCTATGAACGTCTTCTCCTCCTCCTTCGTTTTTTCTCCAGCTGTCATCACCTCGCCGAGGTCGGCAGCTGAGTTCGCCCCTCGGCTGCTGCTCCGTCTCATTCGGCACTTGTTCCTCGTCTTATTCTCAACCATCCTGTGGTGTTGGGTCCTCGTTTTGAAGAGACAGCGCGCCGCGTCACCTCCTCCTCCTCCTCCTTCTGCCCCCTCCCCGTCCTCCCTCCTCCCATCCCTTGCCTCTGCTCTCCGCATGGCAATCCCATTCTAGCACACCCCTGACACGGTTCGTGGCCCCACATGGAGCTCCACCGAAGGCCCCAGTGGCACAGGCCGCATGCGGGGACCGCGCCCATTTTGGCACACCCCTCACACGGTTCGTGGCCCCACAGGGAGCTCCACCGAAGGCCCCAGTGGCACAGGCCGCATGGGGACCGCGCCCATCTTGGCACACCCCTCACACTGTTCGTGGCCCCACATGGAGCTCCACCGAAGGCCCCAGTTGCACAGGCCGCATGCGGGGACCGCGCCCATTTTGGCACACCCCTCACACGGTTCGTGGCCCCACAGGGAGCTCCACCAAAGGCCCCAGTGGCACAGGCCGCATGCGGGGACCGCGCCCATTTTGGCACACCCCTCACGCGGTTCGTGGCCCCACAGGGAGCTCCACCGAAAGCGGTACCCACAATGCGGTACTCGCAGCTGCATATGGTTGGGTCCTTCGTCGGGCTAGTTTTTCGTCCTCCTGCTTCTCCTGCTCATGCTCCTCAGGCTCATGCTCCTCCTCCTTCTCTTCCTCCTCCTCCTCCTCCTTCTCTTCCTGTCCTCCTGCCTCCTCTCTCTTCCTCCTGCCTCCCTTTCTTTTCCTATTGTTGGTGGATCATATATATATATATATCACATTACCGGCCATGGGTTGATTATCCTCAGTGGTGCGATCACTGCTCTTATCCTGCCCCTTCTGCCCCCGCAAGAAATCGACTCTTGGACCTCCCCATGAGGTGCGTCCTGGCCAGGATTTCGAGGAGGAGCCAGCCGTGGCGGCGAGGAGCCGCGCGGAGGCTCAAATGCGGCGAAGAACGCCCACGAGCCTCGAAGTCCGAATCTCGATCCTCGAATCTCGGCGTCCTCCCCCCTCAGCCTCCACGTCCCCCTCGGGTGCCCGGGCCTGTTCAGCACCTCCTCCCCGACCTCGGCCCGCCGGTGAGGCGTGCCGCTCGCACCACGGTGCTGCGGCGCCTGCGCATCGCCGGCAAGGACGGGAGGCCGCGCGAACAATGGCCGGGGCCCACGTCACGGGAGCGGTCCGCGCGGACGGGGGGTTGGCCAGTCCCCTTCGACGCCTTCGAGACGGCCCGGGTTCGGGAGCCGCGTTGGGGCCGACCACCCCTCCTGGCCCTGTGCTGACCCGGGTCTGGGAGGTGCCATGCGGCTGGTTGGGGTTCGCGATGAGGCCTTGGCTGACCAGTGTTAGCGCTGACCCGGATTCACCTCAGGAGGTTTTTAGTTTTGGGTCCCCTCATTTGTTTCTCTCGGCGGAAAATAAATTCCGCCCCTCCTCCTCCTCCTGATCCTCCTCCTGATCCTGATCCTCCTCCTCCTCCTCCTCCTCCTCCTCCTCCTCGTGTTCCTCCTAGTAGCAGTAGCAGTAGAAATAGTAGTGGTAGTAGCAGCAGTAACAGTAGCAGTAGCAGTAGCAGTAGCAGTAGCAGTAGTAGTAGTAGTAGTAGTAGTAGTAGTAGTAGTAGTAGTCGTAGTAGTAGTAGTAGTAGTAGTAGTAGTAGTAGTAGTAGTAGTATAGTAGTAAGTAGTAGTAGTAGTAGT